GTAAGCCTGGGGAAAGGGTGAATCCTCACGCCAAAAGAACTACATTTTCCCTGGGGATGCTACTCGTTAGCCCTGACAAGATCTGTTTAAAATTTAAGCAATATGGAAGTCAATGCTGGCAATGGATCTCCAGCATCAATACTTTGCTAACTCCTGAGTACAGAAGTCTTAACATATTCTAGTAGTAGACTAAGCAAAATACCTCCGGAGGTACATCCAAATGTTTTCTGGTCAACACAGCAGCACCTGCACTTGTTTAGTATCTTTATGTTAGACTCAGTCTCTAACACAACCTTGGTTTTTGCTTTTGAAAAAGGAAATATAGGTATCAGATTTTTTTGGATAGATATAAATTATACACACACACACACTTTTTATTTCCCCCCAGTTTGGGGCATCCCCCATCCTCCATTCCTTAAATCCTGTGAGCATTATTTTTATTATTCTAGTGCCTATAGCTTCCCAACTTATCACTTTGTGTCCTCTATTCATGAGTGGATTTTTGGACATCTTGTCCAGGTCAACAAATACTGGCTTCAGTAAAAGTAAGCCCCATGGCCACAGTACTGCATGGGGACTCCTACAGTCACTCCCCACCCTCTCCAAGAGTTTTATGTTGTTTGGCAAAAACAGAGGTTCTCTACCCTAATTCAATAATTCTTTTAGGGTGTGAAGTAGTGGGAGAGCCCTGGAACAAATTAAATGGTTAAACATTTAATGGTAAAAGTTAAAAAAAAAAAAAACCCTTGGATATTTTTTCTCTTATGACACTATATATTATTACTTTTTTACTATGATATTAAATTTCTGGGGAGTCTACCTACCTTCTAGGACAATTTTAAGATTAACAATGTAGAATTTACATAAATATATACATATAATCATATTTGAGATGTGCTGTAATTATATCTTTTTATATTTATGTTTATCAACTGTCAATTTTGATGATGATTAAAACTTGGGTTCAGAAAACACACCTTGAGTTGATGAAAACACAGTTAATGTGGAAACATGAGAAGCCTTTTATTTAGCACAGTTTGTATCATTTGTCATCTTTGCGTATTTCATGATTGACTATTGGATTTGTTGGCTATAATTACCATTTCTTCTTTGCTGTTTATGTTTTCACCAATACCCAATAGAGATTCCTTCAGTTTGGTAAATCTGTCCTTTACAACCTTCACTCCAGACATTACTTATAGAAGCCTTGATCTTTAGCAAAAAGCAGATCAGAAAACAATAAACTTATGTCTATCTCAACCACAGATAGCATCCAGTTATGATCTTAAAAAAAAAAAAAAGACCTGGTACCCTTTAATGGGAAGTAATCATAGAGACCAAAACTGGGGTCCATGAAGTGCCTTCTGAATAGTTCCACATAAGTATGAGATAGGAGATAGGGAGTAACCCTTCATCATCACCTTTAGAGCAGAGCAGAAAACTATATTTGGTTTTCTTTCTTCGTTTTGTTTTTGGGGAGTGGGGGGAGGTACTGGGGATTGAACTTAGGGCCATTTCACCCTGAGCCACATCCCCAGCCCTATTTTGAATTTTATATAGAGAGGTTTCACTTTAATATAGAGTGTTTCTTAGCGCCTTGCTTTTGCTGAGGCTGACTTTGAACACAAGATCCTTCTGTCTTAGCCTCCCAAGCTACATATATTGTATTCATGCATGGGCTATGTTTGGTTTTGACTTGGTAAAGATCCTAAGTTCAATAGACAGTTTTGATATAACTAACTTTATTGTCCTTTTTTGGTCTTAGTGTTAGTAATTCAATTTCCCTCACTTTTCTAAATTATGATCTTAAATAATTACATATATGCAAAAAATTCTATACCCATCTATTTATTTGAATTTTACTACCATTAAAATTATAGGAATCTCAGTTTTTGAGACATAATTGTATTTTATCCATATGCCATTCAGTAATAATTATAATACATTAATATTTCACCCTTTCATTTTTGGTAACCGAAAAAATTAATGAGTTTTTCTACTGAATCAAATAAACACAGGCAGGACCTATATGGGGATATTTCTGTATTTCCTTAAGCAAATACATATTTTGGGATTGGGTTATATCTCAGTGGTAGAATATTTAGCATGAGCAAAGACCTGAGTTTGACTTCAGCATAAAAAAAGAAAGAAAGAAAGAAGAGATATAGACCTCACATTTTGTTTAATGTATACATTCATCTGTAAGCTAACATTACCATTATTTTAAACACAAACAACTTTAAGCTTTAATGCAATGATTCATTTCATGAACAGATTAAAATATTATGTCTGTAATCCCACTTCTGTACCTTGGAGTAATTATACAATTAGAATAGACATGAAGTAAGACCACATTTGAACAAATAAAATTGATAAAAAATAATCCTCAGTAAAATCATCAGTAAATATTTTTCCAATTATCAACATGGGTAAAGAGGTCCCATACTGAGAAATATTAATTTTGGATTCTTTTTACTGTATTGTATTACCTTTCATGTTAAAACGATTTATGATAAAATTCCTGCAATTTTAAATTTTAGAATTAAACTAAAATATGGAAAATAAAAAATAAATGGCAAAAAACAGTCATGTAAAGTATGAAAAGAAGAGTTGTGAATGAGAACTTACCAGACATGACAAGTCACTAGAAAGCCACCGCATTCAAAACAGAATGGTGTAGGAACAGAAATAGACAGATAGGGATGAGAATAGACAATCCAGAAATAGATACAATAACATGTGGCATCTTTACATGAGACCAGGGTAACATTTCAATCCCAGGAAAAATAAAGATTCTTATATAACAAGTAGGACTTAAATAACTGGTTATCCATCTAGGAAAGAAAAAGAATCCTATCTCATATCATGTACGAAGCTTAAAATCAGAGTAAAACAGAATGTTCTTTAAAAATTGGAGAAAAAAACTTAAGAAAATGTTTATCTGACCTTGAGGAAGATGGTACCACCCTGAGCACGACAGAAAACTCAGAAGCAATACAGGAAAAGAAGACGTGCTTGATTAAACAATAATTAACAGGTTTCATTTAGCAAAAGATTACAAACCAGAGATAAAAACCACAAAGATATAGTTGCAAACATACAACAAAGGATTAATATTTCTAAAATACAAGAGTTCCTAGAAATTGAAAATGGAAAAATGGGCTTTTAAAATGAACATGGAATGAAAAAGAGAGAAAATTCATAGACAATACCCACTGAAAATATATTTAGCATTAGTGATAGAAAAGGAGATGGAAATTAAAATAATCATTAGAGATAATAAGATTAGCAAGAATTACAAAGGGCAGTGGCATCCAGTGCTGGTGAGAATGTAGGAAATGGGTACTCTTACGTGTGAAGGTGATTTGCTATTCCTATGGGTAAAGTAAGCTAGCAGTATCTATTAAAATTAAAAATACACATACCGTTTGACCAAGCAATTCCACTTCTGGGAATCTATCCTATAGGAAAAAAAAGGACCAGCACGTAAGGATATAGGTACAAAGATGTTGATTGTAGCATTGTTTGTTGTGGGGTGGGAAATGGGGAGGAAAGGGAGGTACTGAAAATAATATGAATGTCCATTAATAAAGAAACAATAACATGGAATGTAATATATGTATCATGTAAAATATGACATAATCATTAAAATGAATAGGATAAATCTATATCTAGGGACTTAGAAGATTGATAAAATCAAAAAAGCAAATTGAAGAGTGAGTGCTTTACATTTTTGTTAGGACAGGCAGCAGCCATGACTGCAACAAGTCAATGTCTGTGGACACACTTGCCAGGACATGGAGCAGGGAACTGAAAGACACAGACCAGCAGAACATTGGCCACCTAAGATTATGAATGGACACAGGGGTTGAAAGGAATGGGGACTTTTTCTTCCACTCTGTGTAACTCTGTGCTAGTTCACTAGTTACTAAGAGCACAATGATTAATTAAACAATTTTCCAAAATAAATTTAAAAAAAAATTAGCTTGGATTAGTGGCAGTAGAGTACTAGAATTTCCAAACATTCATCTTTAGTAAAACAGTAGCCAATGAACAAATCTTTGTAATGACAGTCTCATGACCATGACTGTGTTCATTTATGGTGACTTGTCCAGTATCTATTTTCTCTCTCCCCAGTGTATATCAGCCACATGTTCAGGTAGGATTGACAACACTTCATTTCTAAGGATTCCTAATTGGTCTACACTACTGCTCTCCATAGGAAATATAATTCCAAGTTACTTACATGGTCTTAAATTTTCTGGTAGTCACATTTAAGAACTTTTAAAAGAAACAGATGAATATAGTCTTTATATTTTTTTTAATCTGACCCAATATATCCAAAATTATCATTTAAATATGAAATGAATATAAGGATTATTAATGAGATATTTCACATTCTATTTTTCCCATCTCAATTTAGACTAGTCATATTGCATAAGCTCAATAGCTACATGTGCCTAGTGACTACTGCGCTGGACAGCAGAGGCCTGAGCTAAAGAGAGTAACATTATAAACATTGCCAGGCTCATGGCTGGACAAAGAAGTTAAAATGGTCCAATCAACAAGAAACCCATGATAACAGAAAAAGAGAAATTCTCTCCCAGTGAAAGTGAACAAGAAAAAAGAGTGACCTTGGGAACTGCCGTCAGATGTCCATGGAAGGAAGCCTGCAGAGGGAGAAAGGAGAGCCAGGGTCCTCTATGATAGCCCTGACCTTCTGGATCAATCCCCACACATGAAGCCTGGTGTAAAAAGTCATATTGGCTGGTGAATTTCCTTTATTTTTTTCCAGTCACTTTGGGTTAGTTTTCCTATCACTGGTAATCAAAAGCAGACTAGTTGATAACCCCAAGGACATTGCCATGACCATTCATTCTCTTCTTAAGTGAACTAACTCAGACGTTCCAAATTCCTTCCATTTATTTGTAGTCAAGGTATTCTTTTGTTAAAAGAATTCTAGTTCTATTTAATAGCATATTTTAAGAATCTTCCAAAAACACTGCCAAAGGAGAGTCTCACAGCAATTCTTGGCCATCCAGGTAACTTTCTGCCATCACTACACAAGAGAACATTTTTTTTTCCTCTGGGACTCAGTGCACTTATGTGATCTCAGACAACCAGTGAACACTCACTCTCATTCCACCTTTGATTCTGCTCTTTCCTCTCTGGACCAGGGCTTTGGACTTTGGCATTACTGACATTTGGGGCAGGTGATTCTTTGTTGGTGTGGGAGTAGAGGTTCCCTGTATGTTATTGGGCAGTGAGCAGTATCTCTGCATCTTCCAAATGAAAAAGAAACCCTGTAACACCCCAATAATTCCACCAATAAAATGTCTCCAGAAATTGTCAAATGTCACCTTTCAGAGCAACGTCACCCTGAGTTGAGACCCATTGCTCTAGATTAATATTCTGGTCAAGTGTGCAACAGGCCTTCATTGCTTTATATAATTTGGTCCTTAGAGTTTAATGCCACACTCTCCAAGTCCAGCTCAACCACCTCCTCAGGCAGTGGCCTTCTCCCAAGCCCCTGAGCCTCTCCTGGTCTCCCTTCCTCCTCCACTAACTTTTTGATTCCAGGTTCTCCACTGCAGTTCTTTCCAGAAGAAATGTGGGTAGTTCTCTCAAACTCCAACTAGAAATAATTCTCTGAGCTGCTTCTACCGCCACCCACCCAACCATTCCCTTAGGCTTTTCTAAGGGCTTTCTAACAGAGAATGAACTCCTTTCTGGTCACTCATTTCTCATATTGGTCTCCCCAGTGTGGGTTAATCATTTACACCAAAAGTACCCTGTGGAGGCAGTCCTGTCCCCATCTCTCCATACTGTAGCCACTGACACTCTATTCTCTCCAATCCATTTCTAGGCTACAGTTTCATCAGAATTACTCATCAACTCTTCACAGTTCCTCAAATTGATCTGTAATTCAGTACAATTCCAAAAAAGAAAAAAAGAAAAGAAAGAAAGAAAAAAAACATCCCCCTAGGCTTTTTATACTAGCTGACAAAACTGATTCTAAAGTAAAAGAACCTACTACAGTGAAAACAATGGGGAAAAGATGCAGGAAGTTAGAAGATCCTCACTACTATTATCAAGACTTATATCAATCCACAATAATCCAAGCAGTGTGGCAATGGTGTAAGGACAAATAGACCAAGAACAAAATGGAATAGAAAGCCTGTGGGTGCACACACATGGGGACACTGAGCTTTGACAAAGATACAGGGCAATTCAGTGGGCAAAGGATAGTTTGTTCGACAATTGGTTCTTGGGCAATTAGATACTTATATGTAAAAACATGTATTTTGATCCATATTTCACTCCACATACAAAAAATGACTCATAATTAGTCATTAGTCTAAATGCAAACTCTAAAACTTCTGAAAGAAAACACAGGAGAAAGCCTTTGCACCCTTGGATTATGCAAAGATGACTTAACACCAAAGTATTTAAAGAACAAGTCAATAAATTAGAACAAAACTAAAAACTCTTGTTTCTCAACAGATCCTACAAAGAGAATAAAAACACAGGCCACAGGACAGGAGAAAATATTGATAGATCATTTCCATGACTTGGGCATCTCTTATCCAAAATTCTTGCAACTTTAAGTGCTTCAGATTTTAGAGCATTTTGGAGTTCAAATTTTTGTATTAGAGTTCAACCTATAGCAGATTTATTTATAAAGACCAAAAGAATATGCAACTCAAATGCCCATCAGCAAGTGAACAGTCAAACTGTAGCACAGCCATTCAATATAGCAATAAAAAGTAATGAATTATTGTTAACATATGCCACAAAAATTAATTTCAAGTCTTACATTAAACCACAATAATCCAGGTAGTGTAAAAAGAACCTGATGCTGATTGGAAGGAGTCAGATCAAAAAACAAATAAAAATAAATAGAGGTGGGTAGGTACAGTACTGTTCCAATTACTTATTTAAATAAATACAAACCTTTAAAGATGGCAGTCATTGGTAGTTGCCTGGTTGGGGTACATGGTGAAGGAACACTTATAGGAGATATATGAATATACATACATATACTATGTGTATAACATATTATTTATACAATAATAATGTATAAATATAAAATAATAATATATAAACATAAATTACATGTACTTAAAATATGTATTATCTTGCTGGAGGTGGTAGTTTTATAGGTGTATACATGTCAGATTATATCAAATTATGCACTTCAAATTATGCATGGTTTATTGTATGCCAATTATCCTCAATAAAATTGGCTTTTAAAGGGAAAAAACTGCAATGTTAACTGGTAGAGCAGGGAAGGTGATATTGCTCTTGGTACGTTGATTCATGCTACATGGAATTCCATGAGAGGAAGCATTGTGTGGGGGTGGGGAGTTGTTTTGTTGTGTTATATTCTGCTCTGGGCTAAAAGAAACAGATCTCACAGTTCTTGGGATGTTAACAGAGTACAGTTAGGTGATGTTAAACAGTAGATATGGTGTGTGCTGAATGGAAGACTAGACAGAGGCTTATGAAGTACCCCCATTGAACTATCTTTGCTTCAATCCTCCTTTCAAATACCTGAAAAGACAGCCATCACCATCTTTACCATGGTCCTAAAGATTCCAGGCAACCTCTTTAAGAAGGAAAAAAAAAGTAAATAGAAAAAAAAAAAAGAATGAGATAAGTGGCCTGAACTCTCAAAGATAATAATTAAGTAATATGCTTTTATCCATATGTTTGACAACAATATTTTCCCTGTGATTCCATCAGAATCAACTGCATTTATACACAAATTAATACCTTGGAAGCACACCTAAAAAAGCTGCCATTGTTCCCCTAAGACATGAAACCTGTATACTGATCTATTAATTTCATTTCAATATGTAATGTCAAGTTCATTTTTAAAACATACCTCATTGCTTCTAGGTGCTTCTTTAATCCACAAGGACTGTTTTTAGCATTTAAACTAATTTACCCTAGACATAAAAAAAACCCCTTCTGCTTATTCTTGCAGATAATTGATTCTTGATTTGTTAAGATAATAAACACTATGCTTGATACCTTGAATTACAAAACCCCTGGTGAACTCATTCATATGCCCCATGCAAAACAAATACTAGTGTTTACTACATTGGCAGAAAGGCCTCAGGGAGCAGGGAAAAGATACTAAACTCTCCTTCCAGTGGCCCTGCTGCCCAGCCTAGTGGGAAGGTCCCAGCTTCCCCTCACACTTTTTCTGCAGCAGGTACACGTGGAAGTCACGTGGTGCCAACCCCAAAAGCAAATGCCCTCTTCAGTCTCTTAAAAAATAAATCAAAAAGATAACCTCTGCCTCTAAGCTGACTTCTCTAAGTAAAAGCACAAACCACCACTGCCCATAACACTGCTGCCCATAACTGCTGCCCATAACAATGACAGACTGCCAAGGAAAACCCAGGTTTAGGAACAATAAGGCACTCAGAGCTAGTGTCACCACTAGGTTAATCCCATGCATCTCTAAGACACACAGGAAGTTAGAAGTAACTTTTTTTCCTTCACAATAAAGAACATAAAGGTTATGCTAAACTAATAGTTTCTAATAAACTAAGAATATTTTCATGTAAGTATCTCTAAAATATCCAGACTTCTTGAAAAAAATATTTCATATTTCTATAACACAGGCATTTAAGATCTTTCCCTCCATACCATACATGTATAAATTTATTATTACAATCTTCACTCTAAAAAAGACATTAAAATATGTCCTTCTAGGTCAAATTCATGCCACCCATTTATGTCCACCTGCAAATCAAATTCATAAACTATAATTAGTCGTTTTTTTCCTTTCAGGCAATTGTGTTGAAAGAACTATCTGCCTAGCATCTCCTAGGGGTGAGAGCCAAAAGTTCTCTGGATGATGTGTGATGTGAAGCAAAGCTCAGATGGTCACCGAGAAGGGAAGAATTATGGAGTTACTGGTATGTTCCACAGGCGTGTCTCATGTTACAACATATAACATTTCGGACCTCATCCAAAAAAAGGAGACTTTACAAAACAACACATTAAAAGACAATGTATGTGTCTTTAGGATGAAAGAAATGACACCCCAAAACCTCAGAAGGTAAGATTCCCACTGCAGTAAAGCAAAAAAATGAAAAGAAAAAAAAAAAAGAGTAACCTTAAAACACATTAATTTCTTTTGCAGCTGCTTAGGTCTGACAGTCTGCCACCACCAAAAGTAAAAGAGAAGGGTGTTGAAGTTCCAGGAGTTGTTGTGACAGAGGGACCCAAAGACACTAAGAGAAACACAAGTGCCTCTCCTGTCAGGGCCACGGAGCATCCAACTTACTACCATGCAATGTGGGTAAACAGAGGGCAATACAGAACTCAGCTGCTGCTCACATGTCTAACTGGATGATGGATATATTTGGGGGTTGCCAGTTGCTGCAGCTGGGACAATTGCACCCCTGTCACTAGTCTCTTTATTATTCTGAGGTATGCTTTGCTCCTGGCAGTGGTAGGTGAGTGACTCAAGGTTTTCCTATGCGCTAAGTAGAAGCTTTTAAGAATTGGCCTTGTTTTCCAAAAAAGTTCAAAGAAATTGTGACAAGAATGGTAAAGTCAAACATGCTTTCTGAAGCTTATCTTTTATTTGGTCCATACCATGGATGTCACTGCTAAAATTCATGTCTTTCTAGAACTAAATGTCTACATTTAGTTATTATGCCACCCATGTTTGTGACTGGAGCATATTGATCTGAAGAAGAAACATTGCTCCAGTCCCTGGTAGTCAGGAACCCTAAATCCTCATCATGGTTGAAAATCAGTCCACTATCTGACCAAAGCAGGTCCCAAATCCTGAGCTCTCAGTTATTCTTTTATCAAATAAAGCTATTTTAAATCAGATTTCTCCTAAGGTTTCTTTTAGTTCTATAATCCTATGATTGAAATATTCCATATGGACAGCTATAATGCCCCACATCATTCTCATCAACACTTTTCTGCCCTAAAACAGAGTTTCAAGAAGTGACCTATAAACTATGCTGAAAAGTGAACGATTATTTTAGAAGGGCCATTGAACACAGGGATTTCATTCCCCCACATCCTGATGATACAGAGCCACAATCTATATAGGTCTGTCTCTGTTGCACATGTAGAAACTTCTATATCAGGGTTTATGATCACAGGATAGAGTGAAAGATCAACCCAGGGATATGAAGTCAACTCCCCCTTTAACACCTCTCCTTGGAAAACAAAATAGCCCCTTGGAAAGAGCTATTCAAATGATCTGGCGTTAAAGAAACAGCCCAGTCTACATTGTGGTCTTTTGTCTAACTCAGTAAGACAGAATTTGGAGGAAGAAGGAACAAGGTATAATCCCTAATATGTTTTAACAAAACACACGGTGTTTCCTGCATGCAGGCACTATTATAACCATGTTAGAAATATTAATTGATCTTCTAAACAATTCCTGAATATAACAGTATGTTCACTTTACCAATGAGGGAACCAGGACACATGGAAGTTAAGTACCATTTGAAATCACATACCTGATTAAGTGGCAGAGAGAGGATTCAAAATTGGGCAGTGTGTCCTGAGTCCACACTCTGGACGGCTACCCAGGGATTCTTTACAGATTTGCAGACTGGAGAAGGTGGTTTTCAGTGAGAAAGCACACATATTTACCTGTCCCAGTGGGTCATTCTGTATAGGTCTTACTACAAAGAATTTCTCACTGAAAAACCTTCCCCCAAATCCTGCTGGATTTGGACTTGATAAAAAGTTATCCTAGTAAATATGAAATGGGTATTTTCTTTCATGTTTTTAGGACCCCCAACACTTCCAAACCTCCTGAAGCTCACCTAAGAACAGTAGTTCTCAAATGAAAGTGTCATTTTAGATTTATCTTGAGAATCAGTTAAAAGTACACGGGCATCCATAATGCCCCCCCATTCTATCTTCAGCGTTTTTTTGAAATGCATACCTATTTCGAAAAATCTAAACCTCCCCTAGGGTAACCTAACCCTCTCCACTAGAGCAAATGTAAGTTCTTCCTCTTATTTTCAAAGGTAAAAATATCAATCCTACATTGTTTCCATCTCCCAAATCTCCTCCCTCACTATTTCACAGAAGATAAGTGCATGTGTGATAAGAAATGATGCAAATACATGCCAAATACCAAACTGGCTACTCCATGAATATATAAATGCAATTGACATTCTTCCCAGTCTGAAATCCTCTCTTTACTCTCAGGATATATTACACCGCTCTCTTTTTATATAAACATGCCACTTTAAATGCTAATTCAGATGCAACACTCAATTTTTTCTTCGTTTTGTTTTTGGGTTTCTAACATTCAAAATGACACTGGATTTCTTGTGGCTTTGAGAATACATATTTTGAATTCTTGCTTCAATATTTGTGGGGGTGGGAAGGTAGAAAGTGCTAAGCAGAAAATAAATTTATTTTAAAAGTTATCCAAATGTGGCTTATGTGTCCTTTATTTTGCTTGAATTAAACTCTTTCCCTCTCTCTCAGGAAATGTTGCCTTCACCTTACTGAAAATCTCATAAATCTATTTCACATCAGTTGTAAAACCAAGGTGATTTCCTCTCCTTACATTTTGGAAATAACCTCATTTTACTCAAACTACTTTTCTAAACAGCCAGTCAAGGCATTATGCTCTGAATATACCATGTCTGAATTTAACTTTTTTTTTTTAAGTACACAAAACTATGTACAATTACATTAACCCAAGCTTCTTCAATTACATATAAGATTACTTCCTATCTTCCTATCTAGCTTCAAAATAAGAAATGCAACCTTAGAAACTTTCTAATTTAATGCAAGCAATTCAGTATATCTACCATATAACAAATCTGTCTCTAAGGTCCAACAGGCTCAGCTCCACCCAGAGTTTCTTGTGACTGCCAGGTTCCTCTGTCTCTATGGTCCTAACTGTTCTTGGACAATACTGTCTCCCTCTGCTGATCACTCTCATCTTTCTACCCATCTCTAAACACTCTTACACCCATCCAAGAAAGGCAAAATTAGAAATGAGTTAAATCAGTTCATAATTCATGAAGCACAATGGTTTTCAACACCTACTCTACTCTCTGGTAGCCTTGTATCTGGACAGTACACCAGAAGTCTCCCGTTAATGAACTGTCTTCTCTGTGCCCAGAGGTATGGTTGCTACAGTGAGGTACCAAGGAAAACATCCTCAAGATCCAAGCAAATGGATTTCTGGCACTGGGATGTGTGACACTGCAGTAGGTGCAATTATTAAGATCGACAGCTCCTTTATGAAGTGAGATGGGCTTCCCAGCAGGCCTAGCATATGGTAGACAATATGGACACCTACCATACTTACTCCTTGGCCAGCCCTAGTGGACACCAACCACTTTCTAAATAGTGGATAAAAAGGTGAACAGACAAGAAACATAAACACTATTGAAAGGAATACTATTACAAGATGCTGGTATTGTTGTTAGATCAAGACATTAAGAGGAGCCAAGACTCATCTTGTTTCCAGTAATTTAAATACTTCCAGCAATTCCTCAGCATGCAGAGACATATTTTTCCAGGACTGCTATGCACATGATGAGTTGCTTCTGCTTTGGATTCCTGCTGCTGGATACCCATTAAGAATCTTTAAAGTATATATGGCCAAAGAACATAAGGCTAAGAAGTCACCTAAGTGTCAATCATTGCTTCCACTAAAAGAAATGAATAATCGCAGAAACTTTTATAGATCACAGACCTAGAAACAATGCACTGAGGCTCATAATTAAACAAGGTAGAAGAAATACCATTTTAAGTACAGGGAGAATCTACTGCTAAGAATAGACATTACAATTTCCTTCTTCTCTGGGTAGAGAAATCTCTAAGACCATTAAAAAGCAGTACGGGAGGAGAGGAGGGAGCTAGCATAACCAATTTCCTGCTCCTCTCTCTGGGGTATAAAAGCTACCAAGAAACTCTAGGGAATTCAAAAAAGAAGAAGAAGCAGTCTCTGTCCTGGAGAGCTGTTTATTTGGGCAATTAACAGAACACAAAGGAGTCCTTTAAAAATAAGCAGCTGCTGCCAGGGACACCTTGGTTTTGTTTCTAGCCATCCATTAGGTCATATCTTGGGCTTTTTTTTTTTTTTTCATTTTTCCACTCTTTTTTTTCCCTTTCTGCCTAAACGAAAACTCTTCCCAGAGAGTTTTCCACTTAGAAATGTCATTTGAGGACTTAAGTTCTAAATATGGGAAAAACCTCAATAAAAGACCCATCATACTAATGCACTTTTATATAAACAGATTGTTCAGATTAGTTATTGACAACAGCAAAATCATGACAAGGGTGTTTCTGTGTCCCACACTGAATATAAACCACAAAGAACCTGGCATCTGCCAAACAGCCATAGAATCACGGTCTCTCTTCACAGAGCAGGTTTAGGGGCAGGCTAGACAGAAGAAGCACAGCACCATCACTGCTCCAGGCTCCCCATCTGGTGGGAGATACAGTCTTGTGTCCATTACACAAACAGCCACACAGGGTAAGTTACATAGTGGGTTCCTTGCTGAGTATAAAAGCACAATCAAAGTCAGGCTAAAAATCCAGAGCAACAAATCCAGTTCAGAAGCTAAATGTTATATGATCACATATGCAGTTATCTCAATTGCTTCCCCTCCCCTACCTGCAGTTAGTATTATAATGAGGCATTTCAAGAGTACCAGAATTTATCCTTATATTTTTTTTTCCTGTGATGTTTTGCCATTAACCAATAGGTGGCTACTGCAGCAGATCTTCCAATTGTTATAAAATTGCACTCGTTGGGGCCGATGTTCAGCAAGAGACAAAAGCAAACCAAAAACCCTCAGGAAACAAAATGCAGGTTTGGTATATTCTCTTATTCAAAGCAGATTTTTTTTAATATAATTAATCAATTTTTAAATCTGTGTAAATACTTGGCTAAAACAGCTTGAATTCTACTTTTATAAAATCACTGAGTAGTTTATATAAAACATTTCAATACAAAAACAAAGAGGGTAAAATATAAAATATACAAATACACATGTGCACACAATTACTTCAGTGATACATAAAACTCCCTGTTGAGCCACTCAACTCCCATTTCAGTCCTTTTCTGCACTAGTAAATAACCTTTATTATAAACTTGCTTTCCATGCATGTTTTTATACTTTTACTATAAATGTTCTTACAAACAACACAATATATTTTTCTGCATCTTTTTAAATTTTACAATGCTAATGCTGTCATGCCTGTGGAATTTTCATTGTGTTTGTGATAATCATAGCTGTCGATACAGACACTACAATCCTTTTACCTGTAGTATAGTACTTCTTTGAATAGCTCTATCATGATTTTAACAGGTTGCTGGGAGGAGAGGAGCAAAGAGTGTGATAACTTTAGCTCCAAGAAGAATGAGAGGAAAAATGCTGGAAGAATATGGGATCAAAAGCATTGGTGAGGGCTGGGGTTGTGACTCAGGAGAAGAGTGCTCACCTAGCATGCAGGAGGCCCTGGGCTCAATCCTCAGCACCACATAAAAAATAAATAAAATAAAGGTATTGTGTCCAGCTACAACTAAAATGTGTGTGTGTGTGTGTGTGTGTGTGTGTGTGTGTGTGTGTGTGTAAAGCTGTGGTGAAGAGAAATTCTTTGAATGGAAAAATTAAAGCAAAAAAAATCTAGGATCCTTAGGGTAGAGTTAAAGTCTAGAGCCCAAAGAGGGAGAGGATTGGAAAGCCTGGGAAAACTGATCTGAAGTCACTTGCCATACCAGGTCTGAAAGCAGTTCCTTGAATTTTCTTTTTCATTACTTTCTTTTACTATTAAAAAAAGGAGGTTGCAATAATTGCCTTTGCCACCTTTTCACATGTATGTAAGACA